TTCTGTTCTAATAATCTGTTCTGCTTTGATAGGCAGTTATGGGAACATATTTATTTTCTGACTTTTACCCAGTTAAGTATGTAGCATTTTTAGATTATCTTCTCAAATTGTTCTTGAACATTCTCGTTTAAAAAAAAAAAAAAAAAAGCTCCTTTCATGTTAAGTTGAGATTGCACTTGAACTCTTTCCAAAAGCCAGAGCTGTACTGAATTATGATAATTAGAAAGCTGTGCGCATAAAAGGCAGCACAGTTGATGCATTTAAAAAAGTTCATGCCAGAGAATATAAGTTCAATATGTTCTCACATAATTAACATTTCCCATCATTAGCAGCAGTTTTCAGTTTATGTATCTGTAAAAACAACAGCACTCGTCATTGTTTTAGATTCCCAGTCAATAGCATTTTAATAGTTTTACACATAATCCTCAACTTTCCTCCCCTTCCCCCCAGCACTCCGAGATTCCAAGTTCTACCTTCTGACCCACTAACAAATAAACTCCCTTTTTGCAGTCATATGCCTCTGCCACCACACTGACTATGTCAGATTCAAAAGTTTAATGAAGAGCTAATAAGAGCGAGAAATCTAAGAAGGCCATGTGGAAACGTCCAACAGGATGTGGACGTCGTAATCGCGCTGTTCCAGTAAACAGCTACTAGAAGACAAAGAACAAGAAGCTGGAGGTGATACCTTTCACTGGACTGGCGCCAAAGCAGAATGGGCCCTCCCGGAGAAACCTGCGCACAAGCTGGAAAGCCTGGAAAAGGGGTCTGTGGTGCTGCCCCAAATGGGCAAGCTTCTGCCATGCTTTACACACACAGCGGGTTTTCGTAGCAGTCCTGAGGCACCGACACAAATTCATCTAACAAATAAGTGCGTGTAGCACATGATGAGTTGCTCTGCAAGACATTCATAGACTTCCTGTGCAAGATACTTCGAATTAGTCGTTAGAAATCAGATTTTGACACAAGCTGGTTAGCAACCTCTCTCTACTTTCCCCATACACTCCTCCACTCCTAGTATTTTAAAATTAATCTAGTTCTGAGGGAACTTTAATAACCTGAAACAGCCTCAAAGTTACTGAATCTACGTCAACACAGACAGTGAAGTCTTGGGTATATTAATAACAAGGCAAAACTCATGGGGATTGCAAAGGGATCAGGATTTCACAGTAAAAGGAAAAAAAAAAAAAAAACAAGAGAGGTCAGGAGGATCGAATCAGAAAAGTCCTAGTTGAATTTTAACATGACAAATCTGAGGAACGGATTTGAAGCTGGTGCCTCAAAGGATGGAAGTCTGCAACTTTTCACTCTCCTATGTTTTGGAAATGAGCAATCATTAAAACCAAACACAAAATTGTTCCAGGAAATATTATTCCATCCTTGTTCCACTTGCAAAAGTCAAAAGGAGTTTTGTGCAAGAACAGAGGGTAAGATATGGCTGGAAAGCAGGAATTTATTACAGAAATTTTTCTTCTAAAGAAGTGTCTTCAGTATGGCTTAGAGTCAGTTGGCTTCACAATAAATAAAGTCATTAATCTGGTCATATATCACAAGATATAATTTAAGTTTTACAGTACTTGTATACATTGCCACAAAATCTCTAGCAGCAGTCTCCAGTAGGGAGATAATTTACCTCTTCTAGGTTCTTTTAGTTAGTTGAAACGCACTTACATTTTTTAATAATAAATGACTGTAGTTTAGCAATATAAAAAAATCCTATTTGAAGGAGGCATTAATAGTACAGTGCTGCAAAGTGACAAAATAGTAATTAAAATCTCAAATCCCAGAACTAAATAACTATTATTCCTCTCACACTCAACATAGGTCCTCTGAAGAACTGGGCATTCTAAAATAATATTTAAAGGGCCAATTTATATCCTCACTATAGCAAGGTAAATACAGAATAGGTTGCTATGAAGTCAACGGAATGAATCTGAGTTTACACCAAGAGAAGGAAGGGGGAAAAAAAAAAAGAAAAAAACTACAACCAAAAAAACACCCACGTCAGTCCTCACCTTGAATCTGCATAGGCTGTGGATAAGAGCACAAATGGAGGGGGCAACCAACTTTTAAGATAATTTTTCCTGCAAGTTTTAGATTAAGAGCAAAACTGAAAGCCCCTCACAAAAATTTTAAAAAGCCTAATGTATCAAATTTGATATTCTTTTATTAAGAAAAGATGCATGCAGAGCAGCGCCCATTTCCTTCTGTTATACATCAAGTATCATACTAAATATGTATATAAAGCATATGCTGTAAATATCTTAGCATTTGATCCAGCAAATGTTTATGCACATGAGTCATCTTCGTCACTTTAACCTGAGCAAGGACTGCATCTAACAAATATCTTTTTTGTATTTTTCCTAAATAAACAGAATAATTTCAGAGACACAGGGATGGTTTTTGCTAACTCCGGAAAGATAAAACATTAATATTAATGTCAAGAAGAAATAACATATTAAAAAGCAGCATGTGTGCGCGCACGTGTGCATAGTCCAAAGTCATACACTCAGAAAGCAGCGTTTGAAGGCAATCTTTTCACGAACACACACATTCAAAACTGTATGCAAGATCATGTTTTGAAAACAACCTCAGGCACCTTTCAATAAAATCAGATTATTTCTACTGAAATTGTTCCAACTGTGTAACCATCCTACTTCACAGATTGGAAGCTGGCAGTTATATTACAATACACAGCTATTTTTACCTTTCATTTTTTATTAAGTAAAAGATTCTTTACTTACATCCCATTATTTCTATAGGTTCAGAGGTCTACATCATACTTTTCCACTATATTTTATCTGAAAAGACTGCTTACAATTTTACCCACAAAGGTAGTTTAAAAAGAAAGAAGCAGGAGCTCTTTCTTCCTCTGTATTTGACTTTACTCAGTTTAACTTCTTCAGTCGTAAACAAAGCCTAAAAACCACTTTAGCAATATCCAAAACCACTACACTGTCCAGCAACAACAGAAACAACAAAAAGAAATGCTAGTTACAAATTATACCAAGCATGTTACACGCGTGCTCACACATACACCACATCACAACTATCATTTCTCGGCTGGAAATTCACGGCGAGTCTAGTTCACAATTAAGTTTATGTTGTCCTTTTTTTCAGCTGTTTAATTAAACTCCTTTAGCAGAGGTTGTCTTCACTAGGGTTCGTGTCAAACCACGGTTTTTCTCTGCTTCACTGCTCACATACATCCCATTCAGCGCTATAACTGAATAACTATACAGAATATAAAGCAGTAATTTGAATCTTAAAAGCTCTTGTTACACTCTTCCGGGTGTAAAAAAAATAATATTTACCTCATCAAAACGACATATTTAAGATCGATGTTCAAAATACTCTTAATATGTGTTTACCAATGAAGTAGGTATTTCTAGATTGCTAGGTTGAAAAACAGAGATAAATCATTTGCATCTAAAATTTCTGCTTGATCAGATCTGCCGATATAAATCTGAATCAAACAAAATGCAGATCCCTACTAGTATAGAAAACACACTGTGACTTACTCAAAATCAGTGCAGTGCAGTGTGTCCATTTTACTGCAGAGGTGAAAAAGAAATGCACCTCAAAATAGTTGACCTTCAAATCAAAATAATTTGAAAAAGTTGATTTTAAATCGATGCAAGTTACCAATGTGACCCACACACAAAATCTTCAATTAATGCTCAAAGAACGCGCACTGCAGTAATCCCTGTATTTCTATTCCAAATAAAGTGTGCATACATGTTTAATATACAACCTCACAAACATGCAAGCTTTCCCTCCTCCTCCCTCAAAGAAGAAATTTAATATCACTTCTGTGTTGTTTTTGATAGCACCATCTTACCACTAGTACAATCCAATATCCCTGTAATGGTATTCCCCAACTATTTATAGAGATAGAATACACCGTATCTTACAGACACACATACCCGACCTAGGGATATATGACAAGTCCTACATAATTTAAAGTTAAGCCATAATGTTACTATAATCACTTTGTAATTGTTTTGTTTTCATATTCAATGGCAGGTAGTACTTCAGTTTTTCCAATAAGGGGCATTCCCACAGATATTTCCATACTGGATGCACCGCATAATAAGTCAACGTGCAGTTAGCAAACACAGCATTTTATCTGTACATCTCCAAACTTTGCGTTTATCAAGATATCTCTCTGAAACTGGTAACTGGCAATATTATGTTTCCAAGCTTTATCAGCATTAAGGGCAAGTAAATACATTTCTATTAGAGAGCCATACAGCTGCATGGTTACTTTTTTTCCCTGAGGCTCTGCCATTTCAGCTTACTTTTCCTATATATAACATTTTATATCAGAAAACGCCTGCACAATCTGATGTTTCTGGACCTTCTTTCTCAGACAGTGTTCAAAAATTAAGAGTTTTTTTAAAATTATACACAAATATAATGCACATATGTGTGTGTATATATGCATTATACATATATACAGGGAGCCACTTATATTCTGAAAAGGCAGAACATAACTGCTCCCTAACTTTCCAGCACTTCTGGAGGTCACTTTTCATTTCTTCCTATCAAAGGCAGCCACTTGTTTCTAATAAGTTAACAACTCTCCTGAGAAACATGGGTGGCTGGTATTTCATTGTTTCATAAATATTTTTATACTGTAACACCATTCAACTTAAACCAGATTTCAGGAGGAGCAAGCTCCTGCGCAGCGTTATGTTTGCCAGAGGTAGCAGCGCGGACTTTTGTACCGGCTGAGGAGCGCGCGGGTTCCCCCTCCCCATTTTGCTTCGCCTCTCGCCATTATTTTTGTTTAGTTGTTTGGAGGGCCGCGCTGCTCGAGCTGCGCTACAAAAGCGGCACTGTATAACTTTTCCCTCCCCCCAGAAGTGTACTTCCTTTGAAAACGCTCCTTCTGGGAACAAAGGCTGCGACCGGCCCTCAACATCAGCGCTCTGGACATCTGTGGAATAGATCTCTGTAAAACGTTACAGATAAATAAATAACTCTACGGTTCCTACCGAAAGGAAGTTTTCCAGGGACAATCTCCTCGGTGTTGCTGTAACTGCGACTTTGTCTTTTTTGGATACAATGTTTCTGCTGACTCCCGAAAATTTTCCACTTGAATGTGCAATTAACCAGCAGCAGCGGCAGCAGCTCTGGAGAAGGAGAAGAAGCAGCGAAAAAGGACATTCCTTCTTTCATCTTTTAAAGTAAAAGAGCAGGGCGGGGAGGCGAACGAAACTCCGGACGCCCCACGGCCCCACTCTCCTGAGGCGGGCCGGGCGGCTGGGAAGCGCCAGGCCTTTTTATTTTTTCCTTCTCCTTTTTCGTTTTTTTTCTAATTTATTACTGCTGTGATTTTATGCAGCGAGCTCGGAGGTGCTGCTAACTTCTTCCGTGTTGGTGAAAAGAAGGCAAAACCCGCGAGGAATGTCAGAGAGGCGCGGTGCGCGCGCGGGTGCGCGGTGCGCGCGTGTGAGCGCGCGTGCGAGCGCGCCGGGCGCCGCGCCGTGACTCAGGGCACCGCCGAGCGCCGCCGCCGCCG